TTTTTGCAGAAAGATTTCCTCTTAGGTTTACACAGCAGATAAACCTGAAGAGCTTTTTTACCGACGCATGAATAGCTAGTTCAGCTGTGCGAATAAATAATAGTTTAGAGAATCAAATAATCATGAAAATGTCATGGAAAATCAAGGCTCCTACGACTGAAACTGAATTAGCTTCTGGTTTAGCAATTCGATTCCCCCACAGCTCAGAAGTTATATTGTTTATGTTTATGCAGATAAATTTGGATGTATAATTAGATGTTTTGTCTCTTCATTTGCACATAGAAGGGCTTTCCTACTGGCTACTGAAAAAACATTTATGCATGAATTTTAAGAAACAAAATTGAAATGAGCTCACAGAGGCTGTGGAATCTCCGTCCTTGGAGATATTCAAAACTTGACTGGACACAGCCTTCACCAACCTGGTCTGAGTGGTCTTGCTGTGAGCAGGAGCCTGGATTAGAGACCTTGGGAAGTGTCTACCAACCTGTATGATTCTGTGACTCTAATGTTATGGCATTAAACAATAAAAATCCGTGCAGTGATGGAGAAGGGCAAGATGACAATGTAAGCTGCTGTCTGAACCCCAGCTTCCGTATTCTTCCTGTGAGTACAAAACTTTTTTCTGCTGTTGCTTAACATCAGTTTGCAAAGAGATCAGGAGCTTCATAGCTCCTGATATCAGGAAATTTTTTACAGTGCTGTATTAACCTTGTACCACCCAGGACACTCAGAATAAACATTATTATCCTGGGAAAATTAGGGTAGCAGGTCAACTGAGGCAAATTAAATGTCAGTGTTAGAGGCAGATACCCTGATCCTGAGCTTGTATGTCCCTCCTTCACATCCACCTCCAGGCCTTCCCACCACCCACTGAATTACCCATAAATCTCTGCAGGCTCTGGACCAGCAGCCTCCCTGTGAGCTCTTTGCTAGTCAATCCATTTGCAGGACCTGTCAAGGACTGTCTCTGGAAGAGAGGACAAGGTTCCTGGCACTTGTCTGAGATTCATCGTGCCTAAATTGAGAAAGTTACAGTGTCGATACCTACACCTGAGGTAGTGCCTCCAAAATCCCTTCCCAGTTAATGGGAAATGCAGACTTCCAGGGCCCAACGAAAAGGGAGTTGAGACAAACTGGCTCAGACAACCTGGAGTCAGGTAAGAGCTACCCCAGCCCAAATCCTTATGTTATGAAATACTACAGGTACCTGCCTTTAAAATAGGAAAGTATTCTGAGCGAGTGAAATGAAAAGAAAGTGAAGAATTAATTAACTAAATAGAGGTGATTAAAGTAAATAAAGGAAACAATTATCATATCAAAATAAAAGACAAGAAAGATGATTAAATGAGTCTTCAAAAGACCCGTGAGAAACTCATGAAAGACATAATATGCATTTACCTGGTTTTTATTCTTTCATGATTTCATTTTCATTTTTATTCACTACCATCTGATAATTGCAAGAAACAGTTACTTTAACCATGGGCAATTTAAACCATTTTAATTTTTTTTTCCAGGGCCAAGAGACAAAAGAACCTATTTATTGCCTGAGGGGATTTTTACTAAAATGAAAGCTTAATCTTTCATGTTTTTTTAAGCAAAGGCTTTTAAAAAATCATTTCTAACAATGCTGTAGGGAGAGACTTCCATGGGTATGCAAAATTGAAATTATAAATTTACAATTATAAAAAAATTAATAGTTTGGGGGATTGCATTGTCTCTGTTCTTTCTGAATGAATACTGTTTCAAGCTTAAGAGAAAGTATTTAGCACATGGAGGAGAACAAGTGTCCTTAGACTCTCTTGCGGTCAAAGCTATTTAGTAAGAATGTATGAGAGAAAGATCATTGGAGTTTAATTTGTTTGGAAATACGTGATTGTATGAACCTTGAAGAAGGAGTTTCATACAGATTGAACAATCACTGTTAGATGCTGCGTATTTTTCTCTTCTTTTTGAATATATTGCAATTAGAAGCCAGCAGCAAAACTTGACACCCTCAAACAGCAGATGCCCTGTTGGTTCCTCACTTCCTGGCCTGTTTTTCTGTGTGGCCAATGCATCAAAGTCGGTCTGGCCACCATCCCTCTGTAACAGTTTGATGCACTGAAGGTTGCTAAACCTTATCTATGTAAAATTAAACTGCAAGATGAATTTTAACTGAAGTAACCACCTTTTGGGGCTCTTATGACACATGTCTACAAAGGACAGAACAAGAGCTCTTGGTCAAAGATTGATTCAGAAGAGATCTTCAGGAGAGATATAGTTATATATGGGTAGAAACATGGATATGATTTATGCGTCTGCCATGGTTTAAAGGCATATTAGAAGTACATGCTCATCCCCATCCCTGTTCTGTGCAGTATTTTGGCTTTAACAGCGTCAAGAAAAGGATACATAAACATGTACCTTTGCACTCTCCTAAATTTGGGCAGTTTTCTGAACTGAGAAATATTAATTTAATGCATTATCTGGAGAAACACAAACATTTCTTCCTGGGCTTAGTGCAGGCTTTGAAATCAGACAAAATAATTTACACTGATGAAACACAACAAACTGAAGTGTTCTATTAAAAGAAAGCCAAACCAAAAAAATACCCTCAAGGCCTCCAAATATCCACACGTTGAAAGGCAGATTTAAATGTTTTCTGCCAACATATTTCAAGTTTTAATGGAATTACTTTGAGCTACTATGAAAAGCTTTATCGAACTAAATTCATTTTCCATAGAGCAGAGAAGAATCATTGAAGATATTATTCAGGTTTACAAAATATTTAATAGGGTGGAGAATGTGGAACCAGATAAGAAAGGTTAAACTGAAGGACATGTTAACAAGGCTTGATTTTAGGTTGGTTGTGCAACTTAAATAGGTCAATGGACCTATTAGATACAGACTTTCTCTTTGACACACCAAGCTGTCTAATATTAGAAACACTTGTGTACAGCTACTATCCATAAGACTTTCAAAAGCAACTGTCATTCTGAATACACTATTTCAGAGGCTAAATGTCCAGATTTTTTTTTAAAATAATACATCTTCAATGTGCTAGCCAAAATCATTAATCTCTTTGGAAAAACCTTGGTATCTGCTCTACAATACCACCCTGAGCAATAGTAAGCTCTGGTTATCCCAAAGAAGTATCTGCCCAGCCCAGATGAAGCACCTTTCTAACCACGTGCCTCTGCAGACCTGGACATCAGATGAAACCACCTGCCAGGTACTCAAGAAGCCTCGAGACCAGGTTAAAAGAGGGAACAGCAAGTCGGCTAGGCCGGATAAGAAGATTGTGTTGGAGAGGGAGAGAGGAAAATGTGGACCTTAAGGATGAATCTGAGTCCTGTGCTAACATGGCAAGACAAAGAGCACAACAGAAACATGCTGCTACCCGAGGTTCTGGTGTCACTTTATTGCAGAGCAGCAATGATAAGGAAAGTTCATTTCCAGCCCCTCTGCACCGTCGTGCATTACGTTGAGTTGCCCTGAGAAGTCTTGTCAGTACTGCTCAAGAAATGCTGAGCATGCTTCGGGAGGACAGGCTACTCAGACATTTAACAGCTAAACTGCAGAGATATTACAGAGCATGCATGAAATGCAACATTTCCGCTTCTATAAATGGGTGACATTTAGACAGGAGCAGCGCTGAAGCACTGACACTGAGACTAACCTTTTGCAAAGTGTTAAGCCCCAGCTCCAGGACAGAGGGAAGAGATTACTCAGGTTTAAAAAAAATATATCAGCAAACCAAAATGATTTTCACCCAATCTGCTTCTCCGAGATGTTGTGAATGAATATTATTTTTAGGTCGAGGTGAAGCTCACACCAGAAACAGGAAAATGCTGCACAAAATTTGTATTAGGCAAGCTGCCTTCCATTTAACCTCTCCCCCAAACAAACAATAAAACTGTAATATAACGGGAAGCGCTGGCCAGCTTTAACACCCAGCACCACACTCAGTCCCAGTTCTATTGTGCAGTGAAGACTGTTTTCCTTACTGATGAGCTCAAACCGTCTGCCATGAATTACTTTTTCATGGGGAATAAATACACACTTAAACAAGATTAAACACAAATGTTCTTTAGTGGTGTCTAAAATAATATGAATGTTTTTTAGAACAGCAATAAACACACTTCATGATGCAAATAATTACACCCTGCAGCCTTTATGTAAAGATAAGCGGCCAGATTCTTGACTCAGCTACATCACTGTAAATCCAGAGTAACTACACTGAATCAACATCTTTCTCTGTGGATTCTGGAGATGCTGAAGTGTTACTGAACTCTGGATTTGCCCTGATTTCTCTCTCCGGTTTTGCAGACATGGGACATGCATGGCTTAGAAGTCTACATGGTGGTCATGGAGGTACCACCACCTCTTATCCTGTCCCTTATTCCCCCATACATTTGTCTTCTGCTCAGTGTAATGAAGTCAGAATCTGGCTGTGTATTTTCCTTGTGCATCTGATATCACTTCTGTAACTATACTCTCGGTTACGACCAGAAGAAAGCTCAATTGAGGCTACAGCAAGGAAAAGAGAAGGGAAAGAAGAGAGAAGGACTTCACAGAAATTCATGATGGGTGAAGGCAATACGTGCATGATGCGCTGGGAAGCAAAGATCTGTCTCTTGGGGATTAAAAACAACCACCTTGGTTGATCTTTTTGTAGGATGGGAAGGATTGGCTCGTGTTCTGAATTCTTCCTGAAAAGTATAATTTAGCTTAAGTTTCCCATGCAGTTGTAATCTTCATGTAGAGTTTTGTAAGATGGGCCTATTAGGCTTTAACGGCCCCTGAAATGAGTCTGGAAAGGTGAATATGCCCACATTGGACCACTTGAAAAATTAGTTATTTGCTTAAAAATAAGAGCACCAAAAATGTATTCAGCTATTAAAAGGGTCTCGAGAAATTATATGAGCACAGAACTCAGACACAACATGGAATCACCGTTTTAACCATCATCTTCCCATTCATTCTCATTTTTGTATTTTGAAAGCAAGCACTGCTCTTACCGGGACTTGTGAGGGCTCCCAGAGCACCAGTCGTTGTGGAGAGAGGATTTGCATTGGTGGTGGTAGCTGAGGTTTGGGCGGCGGCTGCTGCGGCTGCTAAAGTTGCCAAATTCTGTAATTGTAAAGCGTTCATGCCTGTGTGGAGAAGCAATAAGGTTAATTAAACCATGTAATTAAAAAAAAATAATAAGCTATTTTCCATGGACATGGAGCTCTGGATGTACCTTGCCAAGAGATTAAATTCTTTTTTTCATTCCCAAGACATTTGTAATCTGGGAACCACCTCTTACAGTCCCCGAATAGCATCTCTCACCTCTCTACCTTGGAGTTGAGAGAATATAGCAAAGGCACCAGCCTACAGTTCAGGAAAATTAAACCTTGTTTATGCCTCTTCTATAACGGATGCATAGAATTAAAAGTCATTTAAACTCTGCGTGAAGCCCAGGCACAATACTATTTCCTGACACAACAGGAGGTGTAAAGAAGATAACCAACATTCAAAACACATTCAGGACGGTGTCTTATAATTGGGATGAATACAATTTGTTTCCCATATCTCCTCTGAATGTATCTACTAAGGCTACACTGTGCAGTAGCCAATAATTGTGCTGATTTTCCTTTCGACGGTTCATTTCTAAAAACGCATATGAACTAAGAACATCAAATTAGTATCAGTCTGATCACAGAGCCATCATGGAGGTAGGGACTTCCAGGCCATAAGCTCTGGATGTGATATCAAGTCTACACAGTCATCTGTCACTTCATTGTTTTAGAAGATGTGGGGGAGATATACCTGCATTTCAATGAGGGCCCTCAAGAAATGCATGCATTTAAATAGCAAAGGCTTTAATTTAGATGGCAAGTAAAAAAGGACAAACAATAAGCAGAATTTATGTGAAATGGAAAAAAAGATGATTAAGGAACAGCAAATGGCATTCATTTGACTTAAATCAGAGGGGCAGGAGTCTGCTTCTCCAGAGGCCTTCAAAAGTACCTACCTTTTACTTTGCACTACACAAAGTACTTAGGCACTTACTCTAAGGCGAACTGCTTCATTAAGAGACTAAAATGCAGATACAAGTTAGGTGCTAGTGTTAATCAGACTGGATCCTTCCCAGGATCCTCTGAAAAAGATACAACTGCCCCCAGGGGTGATGATCAGGCTGGGTGTCTACATACAGACGTGAGAGAGATTGTTTGGATAGCAGTGAGTGTTCATTCTTTTTGGTTTGGACATGAGGGAGATCTGTGCATGCTGCTTGAGCCCTCAATAGAATTGACAAAGTGCACAAACACCCCATAAAATACTAAAACAGTTTCATAATGTTCTTGTAGTCCTGACTGATAATATAAGTACACACAAAATGTTAGGTGGCATGAAGAGCAATACCATTTTTTGACCCAGTGATAGAGCTGGGAAGACTGTATGAGTTTTGGGGAACACCCAAAGAAGAGCTTGAGTGCCTGGAAACTTGTCCAATTTTTTCGGAACGTTAGTTAGTTTAACAAGAGATATGACTTCTCCCTGCACACTTTGTTTCTCAAACCAGGGGAACTTAATAACAACTTGGAGAAGATGAAAAAAGAAGAGGTTAAACATAATACTTTGTAAGTATGTTTGAGAAGAAGAAAAATGCAACAAAAGAAAGGTATTTTCTAGGAATTGAGAACTCCTGCAGTAATGGAGAATGATATTACTTTAAAATGCATATGTTGCAGACTCGGGTTGGTACAATCAATGAGCCCCATAAAGAGATATTCTCACTGTCCCAGCATTAGGAACTCTGAGGTGAACCTTGATATAAGCATCTATTTGTGAACAAATCCCCAAATTTAAATACAGCATGTTCCAACAGGCAGGTCAGGGCGCAGGTGAGCACCTAGCATGGCTGAGGTTCTAACTTCTGTGCCTCAGTCAAATGCCCAAAGTCAGCTCAGATGTTGGTGCTTTTGAAAATGTGGCACAATGACTGTGTTAGGAGTAAGGTTTTCGTTGAGCCGAGATCCACCACTTTGCAGTCTGGAACCTGCACAACAGACTTGGAAGAATTATGTGACCAAAAAAGCTCTTCCATATTTCTTTTGGAGGCTAATGACCACCTTAAAAAATAAGGCTTTTCTCAAACTCTACCAACCCAAACTATTTTGCAAGGTGCAATAAAGCTACCCTAGTCACAAGTCACTATTAACCTAGACAATTAGGTGTAACTACAAAATAAAGTGATCACGGGTCATTGTTGCAATTTGGTCAGTCTTCTAAACCAGCCATCACAAAGTTTCAGTGCTTAAAATATAAAGATAAGTCTGAAATGGCAAAACTGTACCTTAATTACATGGACATTTTATAAATACTAAAGCATTAGATATTGGATACTCAAATGAATAGAATAAAACTGCTTAAAACATCCCAAATCTTGAACAAAGTAATCTTCTAAAGCAGGAAAAGTTGACTGAATATTTTAAAAACCTTTTATTTTTACTATCAGTCTAAAACTAAGTTTTGAAAGCAGCATCGTATTAACGAATAAGTTTCTGAAACCAGCGGTGGTAAGGAAATCCGTAACGGTTTTCAAATCTTATCTGTGGTTTAACTTGAGAACTTTTCTGTCAAAAAGTACAATTCAGACAGAAATTGAGATAGGATATTTTGCTAGCATCATTTTAATTTATTTCTTTTTAATTAGTCAACTGACCTACTTACACCTACTTGCCTCAGGTGTAAAATTCTTTTTTTTTCATTTAAAAATCCTCTTTCTTTGATAGTAAGATTCTGCAGATTACCTCAAACAGGATTTTAGGGATGGAGAAGACTTAAGCTGGGGTCCAGCTCTTTGCAAACAAAGCAGACAGTGGTTCTCAAAATGAGATATGGAATCCATTTTTATCCTGGATTGATATTTGGTCCTCAAATATCATTTACCTTCCTCTTTCATAAGAAATATAAATAATGCAGCAAAGAATGTCCAGCAAACATTGCTGGTCTTCACCGAGGCCAGATTTCATGCCATTCTGTAATGGAGATTTGGTAAAGCAGTGGGTTGCTCTCCACCATGGCAGCATGGTTTTCTGTCACGCACTGGGTAGCTATTCATCAGAAGGATCAGTCATAATCAGTTTATATTTCTTCTGTGGGGAGGTTTCCACTTTGGACTTTTAAACAGTACACATGGCAGGATTAAATAATAGTGAACCAATACAGAACAGTCCTAGAGGTCAGACTTCAAAATAGCTTCAACTAGATGAAATCCCACGTGCTTCTGGAAGATGCATGGACTTTTCTCCAAACCTCAGTTTAGAAGAAAATGGATTTTGAAGCAATTTAATGTTGCTTTTTCGATTGCATTTCATATGCATGGCTTTATCCATGCATGCAAGGCTGCAGAAGGCTATGTGCGTAGAGGCCTGTGAAGCTGGAAGCCAGCATACGCACGCTGTACAGCATTCAAGGAAAAGTACAGCAGGCAAGACAAGGTCAACAGGCAGCAGAACAAACAACTGCTCTCTCCAGGCTCACAAACCACTGTCACGCCTGTGTGGATACAAAACAAACACCAGTACTGCCTCATGCCACAAAAACATTTTTTATAGTGGGACATTTCCTGTGGAAGCACAAGAGGAACCCATCAACTTGAAGAAAGAGTTTCAATGCCAAAAAAGATTAAGAAACAAGAGCTAGGCAGTGACAACGTCATCTTCCCACCCAGTCCATTTTACTGTAGAGGTGACTAAAAGACCACAAACCAGCTCTGCAGATGTTATAGGGTGTCAGCTTTGGTGCCTTCAGGAAAAAAGACTGCTTGCTGTTGTCACACACACATAAGAGAAGGACAGCAAAGAACCCCGCTGAATTGAGCACCCAAATGTGACTGTCAGCAAGGACTCATGGCACGCACCGTCATCCAGCATGCTCTACAGCTGATTGTGTCAACAGGTTTATCGCTTAATATGCCTCCTCTTTAGGATCCACTGTCTGCTCAAACATATAAAAAATAAGTCCTGTCATCACTGTTTCACATTCCCCAGGCATTTTACCATCTCTGCTCCCTCTTTATTGGTTTCTCCCGTCAACTTGTCAAGTACGTCAACATCCCACTTGCTAGGACAAACTTGGAGGAGGGAAACCAAATGCTCTCAGACCTAAAAAGTACTTTGCTTTCAAATGGGGATTTTTGGTCCAATTGAACTTCAGCCAAGGTATAGCTCTGTGGGACTAATCTGCTCTCTCATTCTTTCCCCTTTCACACACTATCTTCACACATTTCGCATCCTACAGCTTTTTCAAAACAGTCCCAAATCCCGCAACAGAGCTGGACCGCAAATGAGGAGATTGTTTTTGTTTGAAAGTGCTGCTCACTCAGCAAATGCACTTCCCTCTGAAGAAATGCAAATCGCTTAACGCTGAAGAACAGCCTCATAGGCAGAGCTGCACATGAAAAATGAAAAACCC